ACAAGATATCTGAGATTAGAAAACGACAAACGAAAGAAAAATGTTTTGGCTACATCTTTTGTGAAGAAATTTTTTTTCTATCGCCAATATCAACGGAGATATTAAGTGTGCAAGTGAAAAATTTGAAAAAGTCTATACATTCGCCCCGCTAGGCTCTAGAGATGAGAGAAAACGAACAAGAGTTGTTAGATCAAAGAAAGAACGAAAATATGAGAAGAAAACAAAAGAATAATACGAGGGAAAATACCTAACAGAACGAAAGAAACGATATACATAGTTAGACATATATATGTATCAAACGAAAAAGAGAACGAACATATGTCATAATACATATAGTATAATATCTTATGGCATGTCTTATGTACGTGCCATAACAGTAACTATTGAGATACTCCGCCCAGAGTATGATACATTATTAGTTACATCACTTTCGAATAGTTTACGGTCTTATCACTAACATAAGTTTTTCAAGAAAATACACGAAACATTTGTTACACACGTTCTTCTACTTTTCTAAGACTATGGCCAAAATAGTTTGAATTATATACTGCATATAGAATTATCCTTAACACAAAGACAGCAGTTCTGGAGCGAGGTCGTACATGAATCGTACACGGATATATAGGAAAAACTGAAGAAAAAAATTATATTTTTCAAACTTTTTTCGTGAAAGTATTAGTGTAGTGTGAGCTACAGTGACATCGATCATGTCATTCAATAGAGTTTGTCAAGTTGCACATGAAATACAGAAAAAGACTTTTGGAACATATTCATAGGTGAATCGCAGCTGGAATAATTTCGTGAGTATCATATTGTCTATGGTGAAAAACCGATGGTTTGCAATGCTTGAAAATATAGTCCCAGATCATGCAAATTCAATTTCTCCATTCGACAAATCATGCCGAGTGCTACTTGGAACATTGAAGAAGAGACCTTGGAACACGTTGTGTCCAAATCGCTGTTGAGATGACATGAATCGACAGCTAATTTCATAAACGCGATAATTACTGTTCTAAAATTTTTACAATTAATGAACAACGCTGGATGGCTTCATGGTAAAGCTCATCGAGTCCAAGATTTTTCGACCCAAACCTAGACCCAATCGCGTCTAGGACCAACCAGAAGGACTCTACTCAGCGGGCAGAGAGATGGTTTTTTAGTTCATATATCTAAGGTTCGAATCTTTATTTGGTTCATTCTTGTTTTTTTTCTTACTTAGAACTTGCTTCTGATTAATATTTCATAAACAGATTCCTATTATAAATCATGGCACACAATGGCGAATAATACATTCTACAGGATCGATTTCAAATATTTTATTTAAGCAGAAAGCTTATTATATAAAACACCAACACGCTCAAATTCTCGTAAACCCCGAAAAAATAATTCCTAGAAGCTGTTGTTCGAAAGAAAAGTTTAAAGTCAAGAAGCTTTCATTTTCCAATGAAAAGTGAAAGTAATCGTTACTCCTAGTTACTATAAAAGGAAGATATACAGTTTCAGTTAGGAATTATTAAAAGCTATGATAGACAATTTCTTGAGTTTATCATGACAAAAGTCAAGATGTACAAAGCATCTCGGTAAATTGTCTATATCTTTTTTTTACGATTCAGATTATATGGAGATATGATGTACTCGAGAGTTTCTAAGTTCATATTTATGGACAACGGATTATTAGATAATTATCTTCAAGATGCATATGTGATAAACTATTTCTTGTAAAAGATATGCTTTTTCTTTTCAAAACTTTTATAATTGAAATACACTATCTTACAGAAATAAGAACAAAAAAGAAACTAAAGAACAGTAGTAACTCGACCGGGGGTGTCGTGAGTGTAACGTCCTCTGAATCGTGAAACATTTTTATTTTTTCCCAGCTGAGCTGACATTTGTTTTATTTTCATTTTGCTAGAAAAAAAGATATTCTTGCTCTGAAAAAAATCGCGATACGTCGAATGTTGACTGCTTCTGACTGTCACTGCTAAAAAAGATATCTTTGTATTGAATCGCCGAATTAAGAAAGTCGAGATTTTTATTCAAAAACTTCCACCATTGAGATAAAGAAAAAATAAATTCTTATATTCCTGTTACATTTTCTTTCTTTCTAAAATAAAACAACTCATATGAAATCACAAAACACATAACAGAACGCAAAATTTCCTTTTTTTTATCCGCGTGGTTTTGTTTATTGAAGTATCACAAGCAACATACAGATATACACAATCATGCATCGTGATGAAGCTTCATCTTCATCTTTAACAACGATTTCGTAAGTAATAATTTCGAATATTAGAAAAAAAAAATTTCATATTCTAGTAACGCAACTACTGATGAGAACATGTCCGAATTTTCTCCTCGTTCATATCAAGTAAATTCGTTTTTTGTATTAAATTAGTTTTATTTCGTTTTGGTTTACAGACAGAAATTATGGAACAAGCTAAAACAGAAAACTTAATCGTTTGTCTACCAACTGGTAGTGGAAAAACATATATTGCCATTATGCTTATTAAAGAGTTGTCACCTGCTCTTCAACGAAATCCTAATGATGGCGGAAAACGAACTATTCTGCTTGTTAAAACTAGTAATTCATTTTTATTTGTCATATAGAAAAAAATTGATTTGTTTTTCTTTAAGTTGAACTTGCTCGACAACATTGCAAAACTTTAGGTGATCATTTAGATTTGAAAATTAAAATGTATTGTGGTTCATTAAAAATCAGTCTAAGCGATACCAATCGATGGAATACAGAATTTGAAACTAATCAAATATTAATCTTTACTGTACAAATATTTCTTAATTTACTTGATCATAATCATTTTTGTAAGATGAAACTTTTATTTTATTTTATTCCTTAACAAACAAGAAATATTTTCAGCGTTAGATAAAGTTAATTTATTAATATTTGATGAATGTCATCATGCAATAGGTGATGATCCTTATGCTTTAATCATGAAAAAACATTATAAATTATGTTTACATCATCCACGTATACTTGGTTTAACAGCATCAATTAGTGGACAAAAAATCGAACCAAAAGACTTACGAAATGCTGCAAGAGAACTTGAAAATATTTATGAGTAAAGGATGCCGCCAGACAAGATGGTAAATTTGACATTCCCTCAGGTGTCACTTTCAATAGAGTGGAAAGATAGAGCATGAAAGTCTGTACATTTTTGACTATTTATTTTTTGTTTTGTTAAATGCAAAACGAAAAATTTTCTGGACTAAATAATCTTAGGAAAGTCTATAACTTTTGGACGTTTCCAATAACAACTATAGAACTCATAGTTTTGCATCCTGTACAAATTGATATACAGATTAGTTTATCTTCAGGGTCAGATAGACAAGATATCGTACTCGTCTGATCCTACATAAACTAATCGATATGTCATTTTTAGTAATTATGGAAATCGCTCGAAACTAATTGACACTCTAAGACTATTTAGTCTACGAAATTTTATTTTTTGCATTCAACAAAACAAATAATAAATACACAGAAATAATGTGCAGATTTTCAATCTCTATATTTTTAGTCTATTGACAGGTGAGATCCGAGAAAATGGCAGATTTATGATTTTATCCGGCGGCACTTTTATTTCTTTCTCAACAAACACTCATATGTGAATAACTATTTTTTAGTGCTCGTATTGAGACTGGTTCGAATCGAATAGAAATAACTGAAAATAGTACATCAGTCGACGTTAAACATCAACGTTGTGTTAATTATGAACAAAATATTTGTAAAAAAAAAAAGGAAATTATGAATATTTTTCAAGTTAATATTTTACTTTAATTTCTGCAATTTTTCTATTTTGATTCTTCTATAGGAAATTAAATTATTACTTGATGAACTTACTAAATATTTAAACAAAAAGAAATGTTCAGTTATATTTGAAGATGGTCTTTTACAAAAAAATAATCAATCAAATTTTATTCAATTGCAATGTCGAACTTTAGATCAACTTAAATGTCATCTTGATAATATAATACATATTGGTTATGATCTTGGTCTATGTGGACTTTTGTTAGGAATAACGTCATTAAAATGTTATCTTGAATCAAAAAATGCATCAATAAAAATAACTGATAAAGAAGCAAAAGATTTATATGAAAAGATAATTAAAAGTCTTGATTTTTTAATCAATAATAAATTTAATAATTTACCTGAAAATCGTCAAATTCTTTATAGTGATAAAGTGATTAAATTAGAAGAAATTATAAAACACAATAATCTTGGTCAATGTATTGTGTTTGTTGAACGAGTACATACAGCAGCATTTTTATGTCAAGTCTTAGGAAAAATCTTTGGCGATTGTATTAAAATAAAATATCTTGCTGGTTCAAAAGCTTATATTGATGGAATAAGCGTTTCAAAAAAATATCAAGTTAGATGATATTTAAACAGAAATTATTTTAATCATTTTTTATTGATTCTAGCGTGAAGTAGTGGAAGAATTTCGTCACAAACATATTAATGTTTTAATATCAACAGCAATCGTTGAAGAAGGTTTGAATTACAATCATTATACGATTATTTTTTCATTGATTTTCTTTTGTTTCAGGTTTGGATATTCCAGGATGCAATCTTGTTATTCGTTTTAATAAACCAAAGAATTTTTCATCATATATGCAATCAAAAGGACGTGCAAGAGCACGGAAAGAAAAAGCATTATTTGTTCTTTTCAGAGATGAATCTAATCCTGAAGAATATTCATTGAATAAAGAAGAATATCAAAATTATGAATTTATGGAAAAAGTTAAAACATTTGACTTGTTTTGTTTATTTATTATGTTTTTGAAATTTAGATGTTGAAACAAAACTTTCAAGTTGATTATGATAGTGATAGTTCTTCTAATGATAATTGTAATGCATTAAGACCTTATCGAACTGAAAATGGAGTAAAAATTCATGGCATACGTTCAATACAAATTATCAATCAGTAAATGAACATTTAGCATAATTCTATATTTTTATTTTCTTTGAAGATATTGTGCTGTGCTTGGTAATAGTGGAATTTTATCACCACGATTTTGTTTTTATACAAATAAAAATAATAAATTTAAATGTATTTTATCAATGCCAGCAAATTGTCCTATACGAGAAGATATTATTGTAAGTTCTTTTCTCACATCGAAATTTTATTCATGTTTCTTCTTTAAAGTGTGAAAATAGTAATAAAAGATTAGCTAAACAAGAATGCTGTTTGAAAATGGTTGAAATGCTTCATAAGAAAGGTGAACTTGATCAAAGTTGTCTACCAATTCGTCCTGATCAATGTTCAATAACTGATCATGATGATGATGATAATGAGACTGAAAAAGTACCGTTTGAAATTATTGAAAAGCAGGTATCTAATTATGATTCAAATTTCAATATGAAACTAAATTTGTTTGTATTATCAAATAGAGTTCCCATTTCTTTCATGATTATGATTGTAGTTTGTCTACTTGTTGGCATTTATATAGAATCAATATTTCGAACAATGAAAATTTTGGTTTTATTGTACCTAATGAACTAATTAAGGTACAATTTATATAGTTGACAAGTATCTTCGTATAGAATTTAATTTTTAGTTACCACTATTTAATTTGTATGGACGTAATGGTGTATTAACTATAAAAGTTACATATTTGAAACCGATTGATTTAGAACAATATAAAAATCAACTGAAAATTTTTTGTCGATATATTTTTGAAGAAATTTTTGATGGTATGAATACAGGATTAGAATCGATATTGAAATTTGATATGGAACATTCTACTTTTAAACTATTTCCATGTCTTTTGAAAAGTGAGATATAATTTAATTTATTTTATATTTGAATTCTTTCTTATTTTTCTATTAATAGAATCTGATGACATTGATTATCAACGAATGATGAAAATATGCGATAGAAAAAATAAGTTTGTTCAAGATTCATCTGAATTAAATGATAATGAACTGTATTATCCTTTGCATTTGTCAAAAAAACAACTTTATACGAATATCTCTGATGTTTCTCTTTTGAAACGAGTAGTAGATAAATGGGAACATAAAAGACCACTAGAAACCACTGAAAGTTATGTTGATTATTTCGAACATAAAGTACCAAATATTCATATTCAACGAGATCGTTTCATGGCTACAATGAAAACTTTCCGGAAACCGAGAATAAATTATTTGAAAGATTCTCCATTAAAGAAAGAGAAAGAACAGAATAGTTTAATAATTACTCAAAATTGCTATTATCCTATTGAAGTTCTTTGTTATGCTCCTCTTAATCAAACAGATTTTGAATTATTTTTTATATTACCAAGTATTCTTGTTCGTATTTCACAATTATATTACATAGAACAATTGAGAAAATTATTAGCGGATAACATTCAATCTTATTCGGTATAGTAGAATATTCAAAAATATTAAACAAAAGTTGTCTTGTTTGATTTATACTTTTTATTGCAGTTGCTCGATGTTGAACATATACCAATTGTTACTTTTGACGATTGTCTTACTAATATACTTTCATTAGTAAGATAGATCTTAACAAAAACAAAGCATTTAAAAAATATTTTTCTTCTAGATTCCACCGATTGTATTACCACTGATTTCTCTTAATTATGATTTTTCATTAGAAAATAATAGTCAACTTCAACCATCATCTAATTTAATATTTCAATCAATTACTCGACGTTCAACAAATGAAAATACTGATATGGAAAATTTAGAAATACTTGGTGATTGTTTTCTTAAACTAGCAATATCTATGTCATTATATCATCAATATCCATTCGATTGTTCTGGTAAATTAACATCAAAAAAAGATAAACAAGTATCCAATGAAAATCTTTATCGATTAGCTAAGAAAAAAGAATTAATAAATTATTTATATGTTGATAAAGTAATTTATGAAGGTGAAGAAGCTAATTGGATACCGCCTGGTTATAAAATCAATGACGAAACCTCAAAGA